CAGGAGGGATATAATATATTTTGCAGTGTTTTAAGTCGTTCGTTTTAACACTGATCTTAGTAAGTGATAACATTAGTACACTAATTCCAAATCCTGTACCTGTATAAAAACAAACGGTGTTAAACTTAACTTACACGGACAGTTAAGCCGGTTAACCTTAGATTAGGTATACTTATGTGATTAGGTATACTTAGGTATACTTAAATTTCCTAATGACACTGAAGATACCTACTGGATTCGGTCGAAATCACATGGTGAGGAAAGCTTTATTGTGTGTGTTAAATTTAAAATTTGGGTGATAGATTTTTTGGGGTTTTAAAGAACGTGAAGTTTGTTTTCGAGTACGATATTTTTTTTATAATTTAGGTGGGTAATATAGATATCATGTCCATTACATTATAGTTATATTGTTATTGCTAAGATTTTAGTGTTTCCAATACTATCTATTAAATTAAGATATATATATATATATATATATGTATATTTTGATAACTGTCAGCAAAAATCTCTGCAAATACATAGATAAAATAAAAAATAATAATAGTCCACTGCTAAATGCAGCAAATTATGCTAACCTTAATCATTTGATAGTATGAGTTGTGCTTTGATTTAAATCTAGATATATTCATCTCAAAATAAGTTCAACACTTATTCAAAAATGTATTGAATGTGTGATTAAGAGTGAAACAGAACTTATATTTACCCGACTACGGCGGCGACGCGGAAATAAGGGTTATGACTTTGGCCGGTATATGTAAGAATGTTCAGCCGTTCCGTTATAACTTCAAATTACTCATCCTAAATAGACCAATGAGGTATCATTAGAAAGTCTCTTAATTGTCCGCGTGCTATAGACTAGTGACGTTACATTAAATTGGCAAATGCGCCCTGTATAGAGCATAAAGTAAAACAATAAAAAATATACATAATTTAATCGTTACTTGTAGGGTATCAAATGAAAGGGCTTAATTAGCACATTTTAAAATAATGTGTATATATGTGTGCGTTTATTATGCTCATCCTGAAAGTAGTTTGTTTAAAATCATATACTGATTCGATTTCAATAACTTCTAATATAAGTTTTTTTTTTGCTAAATTTAATTGGAATCAAGTTAATTATGGTCAACTGTAACTATTATAGATGCCACAAACGAAAATTAAAATTAAGTGAATGTAATAAGGCTTTTTAATATGCACTATATTCTAAGCTTGTAATAAAATACAACATAGGAAAAAAATGAACTTTCTTTCAATGTATATTGTGTCTAAAATGCTCTTAAACGCTATGACGCACAAGTTCATAAACCAAAGAGTAAAATAATTCATAAACAAAGAGAAAAATACCACAAATAAATATGACAAACGTGGCAGTGGCAGTGGATGAGTTGTGCATTATTTTATCGCAATTTAAGTTTATCGAATTTTCATTTCACATGCGATGATTCTTCGTTATACTAACTTCATTATTTTCATACGCAGCTTTATTACTATTGAAACTATTTTTATCATAAAGTCCAGTGTCCATGATGAGAGAATTAGTCCAAATAGAAGCAGGCATCGCTTCGGAAAAGCTCCGATAATAATCATGAAGCTTTCTGACGAAAAAACTTGAGGCAGTCGAGTACTCGAAAGCTACTTAGCGAAGAATTACTTCACTCCCACACTTGCATTAAATGCATTCAGTTTTTCGAGTGGAAATATAACCTTTATGTGTTGAACGTAGAGTCTACATTTGTTTGTCGACGCGCTGTCCCGCCTACTTTGGGCGGTATCCCTTCTATCGCCGTTCGCATTGAGTGCGTTCACACGGCTTGCTTACTTTTTGATTTTTAATCACATTTTCGTCGTTGATTTTGAGACAGAGAAATTGTCTCTATACATAATAGCTGTTAATGCATAGTTTGTCGCGAGTTTTAATTATTAATTATTAGTTTTACATAAACATGACATATGTAAAATGATGTTGCCATATTATAAATAATTTTGTTATTTCAACAGAAGCCATTATAGCCATTTTTGTTTTGATTTTTGAATATTTAAAAAGAAAAAAACATGAAAAATATTTAATACTCGTTGGAATCGTGGGACCGTTCTGTGGAATATTTAATCGTTTGTAATTTTTTTTGAACTCAGTCATAATACCACTTTTATTTTTAGTACGATTTTGGCAGCCATGTTTTGTTAATTTATTATATTTTTTTTCTAAAACAAATTTTGTAATCACGTAAACCAATTCTCATTTATTGATAAATAAAATTAGATTTTATTAATCAAAAATAAAAAAATCTAATATTTTCATCCCTCTTAATCACATTTCTCCGTTTCCAAATTGGCAAATGGAAAATCTACATTTACGTCATAAAATCGATGTTGGATAATATTCTATATTATATAAATGAGAGACGGTAATAATCTTATGTATATTGTGTACATATATATAAATATTAAAACATACTTTCCATATTTACAAGGAAAGAGTTTGGAATGTACGAGTATTATTTTAAAAAGTTCGAAAAAATAGATTGAGATATTAATAAATAATAAATACACAGTAAAATGTTTCTATATCGATTAAGTTACTAAATTCAAAAATATTCATTCGAAGATTAGGGCAAATAGTATCTTAAATTATTATATTTAATCAATTTTGTGTTCACAATGTTATACTGCAAAATATCCTTAATGAAAAATGCTTCAAAATTTTCCAGCCGCAGGTACTCTGAGATGGGACTCACGATCTTTCCCAGTCAGATCTCAGATTACTTGTGGTTGTGTATTTTTTAAGCATTTTTCATTAAAAATATAGATGCTTAGATATCATACAATTGATTTAAGAAGAATGTATTATTTATTTTAATGAAGTATACAGTAAAAAGAAAACAAAAATAAAGAGACAAAAATAAAACTAAAACGTGGTACAGGTTTCTCTATAGATAGAAACAAATGGGAACCCACCGTGCTGGCTCAGTGCACCGAAAAGTTTGGTATCCCATCCTATGACTGGGAAACCTCCACATAGCAGACCGAAAGTGCGCTATCGAAAGAACTCTATATTACACAGCATATTGTTATAAATACTATACTTACATTCATGTTGTGATACTAAAATATTATAAATTGTTGAATATTATTTTTATTTTCTACTAACTTATTATTTTATTATTTATTTTTATTTTACGTTTATATGATAATTAGCACTTTAAATTTTATGATAATTACATTTTGTGAATTTACACATTTATTTATTTTTACACATCTATAACATGTAATTCAAAAAGAGTTTATATCAGTTCTGCATTAACTACTTTAATAAAAATTTAAAAGCCTGCTTTTCCTTTGACGGACAGATACTTTCTTTTTTATATTGTTAAGCAGTGCAGCAGTCATACCTATGCTATTATATGCATAAGGAAATACTTAATAAAATTAAATCAATTAGAATTTATTTTTATCTTAATATTAATTTTATTTTAATAGTAATAACTATATCTCTTAATAAAATTATATTATTATTAAGAAATATAGATAAATATTCCCCCAATAAATATAAACCCCCAATAAATGTAAATTGTAACATTAGATTACATCTGAAAACTTTATAACGAAGACTGTTATTGCGATTGAAATTAATCAATCAACATTTTTATAGCTTATTTCAGTCGTCACGTTGAAATCAACAAAATAGTAAAATACTTCAGTCACAAATGGCGTATGGGCAAGCATTTGTGGAGCCATTACCGGCTCTACGTCGATAAGCTTTTACTGCCATGCGACATGCTTAGTTTCAGCTCTCGCACTTAATAAATTATTATAAATACGAAAGAGTGCTCGTTCAATTTTCCGCAAATTTGATCTGGCGCTATAAACTCACGATTGACGAATAGAGCCACTGATTATTATACGACTGTTTGTGAAACTGTTTCGATCGAGTCAATAATCAATAATAATTAAATTGTTTTGTTTTTTGCAAATTTGTTTTTACAGTGATACAAATGTTAAAATCTGATGTTATCGATTGATAAGGTATTTTTTTTTTTTTTTTAGATCTTTAGAATTTCTATATGGTTGTTTACCTAATTTTGGGATTTATCTCATTTTTAAGAACTCTATATAATCTTTTCATTAAGAAATAATTGTTTTTAATGAATACCAACATTAAACTGTAAAAGAAGGTTCCAAATTGAAAAAAAAAACTTTTTGAAGTGTTGCGCACGGATAGTCTATTAATGTTCTCATCTCGTAATAGCCCAGTCGCTTTGTTTTTTTCGTCGTGTATTAAAGTAGAGGATTATTTATTTATTCATGACATTATAATCGCGAAAATTCTGATGCAAGTACGTAATTGGTTGGCCCGTCCCATCGGCGACGAGCTTTCATTGCATAAATAGTGATGCGAAGCGGCGGCGCACCGAGTAATGCGAATAAATACTTCGATACGATCAACTTACCGTTTAACGAGAGTCTTTTCCATGCCGCGGTGAGCCATTTAGCGAATTTCAATAGTTATCGCGCGGAGAAAAATCGCCCGACGAAAGAGAAGGGGCGAGGAGTGCGGCCGGCGCGAGAAGGACGGTTGCAATAAGAAAGAAGTAATAAAAAAGCGGTTGTGTGTGCGTGGTCGGAGTGTGGTGGCACGGGGCGGCGATGCAAGCCCCTCCCTGTGGCGCCCGCCTCGCGCTGCCGCGCCTCAGTCGAGTCGACATCGCGCCAACTCGCAGCGGTCCGCTCTTGTCGCGTCACCGGCGCGCGTAAAAAGTTTCACGGACTCTACGAAACTTGCGATCTTTGCGCCGATACTAAACTGATGCTAAATATTTTTAGGATCTTTACCGGTGTTCTTAAGACAATTCAATATAACCTGTGTTTTAATTTTCTTTTAAACTTTGTGTTTTTTTATTTAATTAAATAAAAAAAATCTGAACTTGAAACTATTTGAAAATATTATAAACTGTACTATTTACGATAGACTTAAATATAGTTGTCAGATTAGGTAAGAGTGAATGGTGGAGGACATAACATCAAGATATCTGAGTTTGCGGGTGCGCAGGCTATGCCAGAGCTCGCATATGGGATGTTCAGAAGGTGACGCGTGCGAGAGGCCGGGCTCGGAGGCCAACTTGATGCTGGTGCAGGCCGAGGGCCGCGACCGGCCCGCCATGGAGGAGGAGTGTTCAGCGCGGCCTTGCGCCACAGACTTCTCCATCGCCGCCATAATGGCTAGGGATCGCCAGGAGAGGAGAGAACGACGGAGACAGCGAGATCCGAGAGAGGATACGCTTATGCCTTTAGGTTAGTACAAGTTTCATAGTTTAAGATTAAATTTACCCATATAATGTTAACCTAAATTTATTATACGGCATACAAATTATTCATTAAGAGGTGTACAACTTTATATTTAAAGTAAAAATCATTACTTATATCATAGCCTTTATTATAGCCTTTTGAGTTATTTATTTACATTATCTAAATTATCTTAGATAAAATTCTTATTTATTTTTTAATTTTATATGACTGTTTATATTATTAACATTTGATTTCATGATATTATCTATATTAAAAGTGAAGATTTGATTATTTGTTTGCACCTAATATGCTCCGAAACTATTGAACCAATTATGAAAATTCTTTCACATTAGGGAAGTTTCGGTATATGCAGACATAGCTTATAATTTACGTGGGAGTAGACGCGGGATAAAAGTTAGTTTTAAATAAAATGGCATTACATGAGCATACGATAAATTAATATAAAATTATTATAATATACTAATTTTAAACATAATAATTAGTTGAAATAATAAAATCAACAATTAATATCTCATAATCAACAAAGTAAATAGGTTGTTTTTTTTTCTCCAAAAATCGTATATTTTCATTATAAGAACAAGATACAAAATCATTACATTTATTTTTATTTATCAAATTTTCATGATACTAAAAGTAAAAAAAAAATACAAAAGAACAACATTGTTCGATATATCTGTATTTACATTTACATATCGTTATTGATTTTATAGAAAAATATTTGAAAATTTCTAGAATCGAAGCACAAATCTTCGATGGTCAGCAGTGCGATTCTGTAAAAATCCAGACCTGAATTCGAATTCACTCATGTGTCCGAATTCACGTCATTTAGTATAGAAATATTATTGATTCCATTTATTGTACAAAAATACTAAACAAAATTGATTAATTATTTGTGTCATACATATTTTAATCCTATATCATTTCGTAACTTACTTCATTTATGCCACGAAACGTTATTACCAATTCAAGATTGAGCGTATGCCGCTTTTTGAAGTGAATTCGGACACCTGTGTGGATTCGAATTCCGGTTTGAAGTTTTACAGAATCGCAGGGCAGCTAGCTAATGAGTTCAAATTCTATCTCGTGCACTCGTAATGTACTTTTCTATCATCACAAATCATGCATATCTATAAAAACAGTCTTTATATTGAGCCTGAATTGTACCAAAAATATAATAGCTTTACCTAAACGGTATACAAACCATAGCACTATAGTGATCGTTTTATTTAATAGACAGACACAAAGTAGATATCTAGTATATCTCATTACTTCAATAAGTTTCAGATTCGAGTTTATATTGACATCAATATTCTTGATGTCTTTTTTTAAAGGACGCATTTCATGAACTTATATATTCAAAACCACAGAAATACACCTCTATTAAAACCAAAAGGTCTTTTTATTAAACAGTCAGACCCACAATATCATTAGTATCTGAGGTTTACAATGTAATTAGCATTTTTTTCGTTCATCAATAGTTCAGAACATTGTAACTTTTGCTTGATTCTTGTCGGATAAGATAATTAAAACAAAATTTTAATAATATTTTTTTTACCGAAAGCTCTTAACTGCGAACGCAAGAGTTAACACACTAAGAGATGTATAAACAATACCTATAAGAAAAATTAAACAATGTAGTATGCGAGATCTTTATTAAAATTAGTGATGCAACTACTTACTCGTAGGTATTCATCGAATGCCATCACGATTATTTAGAATGATCTATTTAAAATTTGAACTTAAAAATTGGTTTGGCTGTGCAAAATGTATACGAGCGTATCTGTGCACTATTTTACCCTTATTTTGTTAATTTTAAAGGATTATTACTGAAACAGTGGTAGCCATTACAATATCTGTCGTGGGAACCACAGTTGATACAGTTAGATATCAACTATTACTTTCGGACATTTAATTTATTGAAATTTTTATCGATGATTGTCTTTTATCATTTACAAATGTTGTGTTTAAAGACAATCAAACAAAAATCAATTATACTAATCCCCATAAATTAAAAAGTTTCTAATTCTTATTAATTAAGTAGACATCAACGGAAACTAACAATGTCGACCATCTTTCATAAAGAGATACGACCTATACCGTCGATTTATTTGTTTGAACAGCCGATGTAGACGTAACAAAAACGGCAAAGAAGTCTAATTAATAACTGTCAAAATCAAACTCCGTTGCGAATGTACACGATAAGTGCGAACGCATAACAAAACACAATCGATTATTTCACAATAGAAACAATATTTTGAAGGATTTAGTTGTAGGTGTCTCGAAGGTAAAGTTCTTTCTTCTAATAACTAGTTAAAAAACCGGCTTAGAGCAAATCGGTAACGGTAAGAATGGGTTCCGTAATTATATTATTAAGAAAAAAGTACCTGTAATATTATATAAAAACCATATATTATAAGAAGTATAATATTTTTTTTATAAAATCTTTTACGGGTTTGTAATGTAATCTATAGATGAAATATTATTGTTTTAAAGTTTTAGGCTCTAAAGATTCAGATATCAGAAAGTCAGAAGGTAATGGAATGTAAATTATTGGCTATTTTCTTTAGTAATTTCAAAATTAATCTCGAAATCACAAAAATATAATTATATATATATATATTAGTGATCCTTTTATTTAATGTACAAAGTTTGCGAAACTTGTAATTATTTTCTAAGAGGACGCCATGTTTAAAATTAGAGTAGGGCTCTTAAACACATTGTGTACTAAATTCCAACACAAACAGTTCATTAGTTTCGATAAAATGCCAGACAGTTGTAGGACGGAGAAATAGACAACCGAATTCTATATGGCTTCGTTTTTCCTTTTAATGTGCAGAACCATAAACGTTAAAAAATTGATGGTTTTCGTTGCTCAGTCATGATCTCTAATCGTAGTAGAACATTTATTTAAGGATTCGGATTAAACTTTTTTATGTTTATTTAAAGTTCTTATGAGCTCTTTTTATCCCATATATTAGATTTATATATATTTTTTTTGTAATGCATATGCACTTTGATAGTAAGTTCACTAAGTTATTAACTGTAATAACAAAAGGAGCAGGTCGGTTTTCTTGAAGAGGTATTCAATATTTTTATAATATTTATGACTTATAAATGTTTTTATATAGTTTTATATTTTAAACTATTTATCTCCCCTATTTATTTTATGTATTTTTTTAAATTTATTAAATACTAGCTTTCCAGCAACTTTGCTCGCGTGATCTCTGTCATTGTAAATAAAAACCTTTCTTTCGAATCGACCTATCTATTAAAAAAACCACATCAAAATTCGTTGCATAGTTTACAGATGTAAAAGCATACATAAGGACAGACGACGGAAAGCGACTTTGTTTTATAAATAATACATATTGATTTATAGTATTGATTTATAATTATTAAGTATATAGAATACAGATATACCTATTTGAAAGGATGACTGCATTACTAAAAATTAAATTCCCTATTCAAAAAGAGTCGCACATAATCAAAGCATGGTAAGTTGTATTCCTATGAAACCGTTCAATAATCTAATTATTAAATGATTACCTATTCCGCAACTTTACGCACAATAGAAATATTTTATAATACTTTTATACCAAATGCTGGGGTTCGGGCCTTCCCTGTGGATGTAATCCACTCATATCGAATAGGGAGAATATACCTATTATTATACTTTTTTATAATATTTCCTAATAATTTTAATGATATCAATAATACTACTGAAGAGAAATGAACTCATAAACTAAAAGAGCGGCAATTTTTCTTTAAAAATAGTTTCACAGGAACACCCAAGGCCTCAGTAGAGCATAGCTATATTATATAGAATAAAAAAAAACTGTTCCTACTTTGATTCTTACTGATTCTTCCCAGTGTATAGTATCTAGCTGTTGTCCCGCGACTTTTCGTCACCCGCGTATGATGTAGTTTCCTGTAGGTGAAGGAATTTTCATGATCGGATCAGTATTTCCGAATTCTACCGCATAGAAAAAAAATCACATAAAGTTAGAAACTTTATCTCTTAGTTAAAGGTAATATAAGTTAATATTTACTACTTAATATTAGGGAAATAATTTAATGTTCCTGATATTTCGATAATTTTACAGGTAAAGAATAATAAAAAATAAAACTGTTAAATTAGAAATAACATTAAAAAGTTGCGGGTTTTATTTATTAAAATAAGGATATATTTTATGAACTTATTATTTACAGTGATTCAGAAAAATCTTGAATTATTAAAAATAAGGTTAAAAATTGACTGCAATAACTTTTTGAAGAAATCTGATGTTCTGTTGTTTTAACATACCAACTAGCGAATTGGACTCGCACATGGCCACCACTTTTATTTTATAATTTATCGTGAACAAAGGAATAAAATTTAAATAATTAAAACTACGTTACTGAGGGCTAATGTGATCAAAATATGAATTTATAAAATTAAATTATTATATAATTCACCATTAGTTAAATGGCATCATGCAAATTAACTCTTATTTTCAAGGGTTGTTAAATGCTGCAAATTTTAAAATAACTGCAATGAGTTTCGAATAATTAATAACAATTTTGACTCACATTCATGAATTTTGCATTAAAAAAAGGTAACGATTTCTTTTACAATTTATATTGTTTACATTTTAATGTTATTTTACTATTTCTATTATACTATTTCTATTTCTATTATACTATTACTATGTTATTTTAAGTAATTAAGAAAAACCTACAGTGCACGCATGAAGTAGGTACCCATGCAAAGTTTGGAAAGCATACACTGTGTGGATAATTTTAAAGTCTGTTTATTTATTTTACAATACTTAAACCGGTTAGGGTCCCGGTCATTGGGCAATAGCATTAAAAATCCATTTAATAGTTGTGCAGTTCATTTGATGAGATGGCATAGAGACTGATGCGGTGGTTTTACTACGATTATAAATTTGTACAACGGGAATCCTACTACTAAGACTTCGCTGTCTGTCTGTCAGCAGGCTGTATCTCATAAACCGTGAAAGTATGATAGTTGAAATTTTCAAAAAGTATATATTTCTTCTGGTGGCACTGTAAGAACAAATAGTAAAAACTAGAATAAAATAAATATTTAAAGGGGGTCCCACATACCATATGTGTTTTTTTGTGCTCCTTTCCGTTGCGGAACCCTTCGTACGCGAATCTGACTCGCACTTGTTCGGTTTTTTTTTATAATATGAACGATATAATTAACTTCGCGGAAAATAAGTATACATTATAAAACATATTTATTATATAGACACAGGCATACACGACTCCTTTGCTTTAAATATGCAAAGGCATCGTGTATGCCATTGCCATTAAAGTATTACTGTAGATAAGAGCTCTTGATAAACATCAAGAGCAGAGGTAACTATCAAGTAATATTAGTAATATGTTTTTCAATAACATCTCTTTACCTATTTATTTACATACCTAAATATACTTTTTAAAGTATGACAAAAGTTTTAAAAGTACATGAACATTTACATGAACTATATTTTAATATTGCCAAAACTAACTCTCATTATTTAATTAAAAACGCCTTTCCGATTCTAAATAAAATTAATTCCAGACCTAAAATTAAATTAATATAAAAACAATGTCTTTTTTCAGAAAAGTTCGTTGATGCTGCGGCTTCCGCGTCAGTGTCACCATCACCCCCCTTAGCTGATTACGAGAGGGACTCCCCCGTAGATGTATCGTCGACGTCAGAAGCGGGATCTGCTAGCGGTGCCGCGGGAGGATCTCGAGCACTCTCCCCACCACCACGCAACCCCCAGCTGTCAGAACGGTGGTCCAGCGAGGAGATGCGACACATACAGTGCCACTTGGAGACGAAGGAGCTCTGGGATAAGTTCAACGAATTGGGAACAGAAATGATCATCACGAAGACTGGAAGGTGAGTGTTAGTATTAAGTCCCATTTGATGTAAGAGTAGAAAAATATGTTGTCTGTATCAAATAAGATAAACTTAATCAGAGAGAACAGAGTATCTCTCTAGGCACGGACTTCTTTATATACTTCTTTTGATTTTTCAAATTTATTACCTTTTTCATGAACGCTTGCCGATTTTTATGACTTTCGACGTCATCTTCCTATAACGGGCGATCATTTTCATCGTGAAAGGTGTTTTAACCTCTTTGCCATCAACATCCTTCCTATTTTAGCGTTGTATGCAGTTTTATTATACTACCATCCATGATTTTTATTTGTCAACAGTTCAACCTTCTTACTTACCACTATAAACGACATTTTGCGATAGTGACATTGTGTTTTGATTTTTGATTTGGTTGATTATTAAAGTCGTTGAGAATTCAAAACTTTGTGGTTAGTAATCGAACGGCGATCGGTTAACGAGATCAAGGTAATGTCAGGAGTCGATAAAGTAGGTGGTACAGTGAGTTAAAGCACCGGTGCGAGGCGTGTCGGTCGCGCGCACCGCAGCTAACAATGGGTAATCGTCGCCGCTGCCGCGAGTAGGGTGGTCAACTACCGTCTTAAAACAATAGCCTCGTCATTGTAGAGATCATTCTCTTAATACCATTCAATTAAATGCTTCTTTTTTATCGATATCATTATTATTTCCAGCAGAAACATTTTCATTAGTGGCTCATTATAATTAAATTATGCTTTTTTTTTTTATTAGATAATGAAAATGATTGAATATTAAAAACCAAAAAGAAAGAATTTTTCAAATGTTGCGTACATCGGAGCGTTGTCAGTTCACTTTAATATTGTTTTTTTTTCTAATTAATACGTAAATTTTTCAATATTAAAAAGCTTTCTTTCAGGTAAGGTAAAAAATATATTTCAGTACCAAACAAATAAAAACCTTAATTTTTCCTTATACAAATTAATTAACGTAGTCGTTACTCTATTAATTAAATTAAAAACATCATTTTTAACTAAATTTAAAAAGAAAGGAGATTCTTGTATCTTTTTAAGTACCTAAACCTTTATGAACTCTATCACTGCATTATAATCTTATAAGAATATTAATTCGAATGTTATCCCTGTCTTGTATAGCCAATTGTAGCTCGATGTGGGGCGGGCGTTAATGACGCGTGGAGCCTGTACCTTGCATTTTTATTGTTCTCATAATTCGTGTCTTGGCTGTTTCTCTAGTTATACAGCTTTGGACCACCATACATGTCTCCAATACACTTAGAAAAATTATAATTTATTACATATTATAGGTATTATTATTCTAAAAACTTGTCGTTTCACTTTAGCTGAATACTCATAGTAATTTACAATTAGCCTAATAATTTTAAAATTAGTTAGAATTCAATTATAGGTCTTATTTAGAATTCACTTATTTGAATTTTATCAATTTATCTTTAAGGGATATTAAAGTAATATAGGAAATTTCGAATGATTATCATTCATATAAATTTCTTTATATTTTTCGCCGAAACAAATAACTAAAACGAGTATTATTTGAAAATGCTAATTCTCTCTAAACTTAAATAAAACATAATCATATTTGGTTTTGTTTTAAAATTATTACGAAATCTCTTGTAGATAAATATAATAAATTAAACAACAGAAATTTAATTAAACTGTAGTAATATAATATTTAGTTTATTTCTGTTCTCTTATTAGAATTTAAAAAGTTGTTTGACACAATAAAATGCAATAAAAGTTTAGTTTGTGCAATAGAATTGCTACCAAAACCCACGTTTCAAACATTTCAGTCTTATGGCTGATCAACCACTAAAGAATGACATCGGAAACGTGTTTAAATATTTCATTTTACTATGCTAAAGATTGTTACCTATATTTAACAGATGATATCAGTAACAAAAGGTGTTATCGAGAAGCAACGCTAGCTGCGACCGACGCAGCCACGTTATCGTAACCGATGTAAATCAAAGCGCGACAGCTCACCGATCGTGACAAATTCCCCGACCTAATCTTTCGATAACGACTTTTGCTTACACAAATACTCCCAGTCCGACCAGGTTAAACTCTCCCCGCAATAAATTATTTAAAATAACTCCACTGTAGGCATCTACTAATTTATTCCGGAGCCTAATTAGAGAGCTCTAGTCCATTTCACAGTATGCTCTCAAATATTTAATGCTTTATAAATACGTCACCTCAGAATAAATTTTAACAAAGCCGGGTATAGTGCGCTAAACAATGAAGGTTCTTTCACGGACTATAAAGCTGTATTAATACCTCACTTATTTATTCCTTATAATGTTCTCGAGTTAACGACGCCTCGGGCATTCAGTTTTTTCCACCACGCACCATAAAATACGACATCTGGAAATATATGCCAGTCGTATTTATTTCCAAACTTAGCGGACCAGAACCGTCCGCGTGCATGTTTAATACTGTGTTGATTCGTATTAATTCTTTTACCATAAAACGAACGTGTCAGCAGAATTTTTAACAAGTCCCCTTTCAAAATTTATATTTTTTAGGTATTTCACATATTATGGATCCGCACATTAGCTACGGTCACGAGAACTCATAGAAACTCGGATGCGATAGCAATAGCAACAAAGGACTTTGGGAAGTCGCAATGGGAGACAATTTGCCACACACCGTCACGCGAGCTTATCCGAGTCGGCCTCGTCGATTAGCATAAATCTCGCCAACTAACCGTCACAAATGTAGCGGGCGCGGGAAGGGGCACAGCTAAACAAACTGACGTGAGCGTCGATGCGATCGCGCGATACTCGCATGTCGCCGCGACGACGCGCGACGAATCGCGAGCGTCCCCCGCTCGTATAAATCAGTATTATCTGGCGAGATAGCCGCGCGCCTGGACCCACCCCGCCATATCATGCAGAGCCCCGTGTCGTTCGAAAAAATTAATGACTCGGAAAAACGATTCGCTTATGAGGGATCTTTCACTGTAATTGAATTGCCCCGCAGAGATCAGCCAAATTGTCAAATAATGTTGCGAGAACGAACGTCGACTCTGTTGAATCATATGCATACTAAGTTATTATTCGGTTTTGCTGCTCAATAGAGATTTTGGTTTTGTTTTGGTTTTATCTAAGCACCGTAACTAATGTTAATGGGATACATAAAAATATAAAATTTAATAATTTTAATTTTATAATTGAGAGGCTGTTAGTGCTATGATCATAATAACCTGTGAAGATTTTTGGCTTAATGTATTTTTTGCCTTTTATAATTCTCTCAGTTGCAAAATTCTGCAAATCAAATCTTATCTTGATCAGCTTATAATAGTCTATTTAAAGCGAGTTATAACGCGTATTATACTAAGTATTAAAAAAATGTTCACTGTAAATCCGACTAGATTCGATGCAGTAACCCCCCGGAGATTAACATAACTGGCGTAATAGAGTAATGTAAATATTTCTCGACTGTCTGTCCACCGTTAGTTGCAATGCTAATCGCGGAGCAGTGTGGTAATATAAGCTTCGTTTTAAAACATGTCCCTTTGTGTACACTTCTTTTAGTTTATTCAATGGGGACCTATTTATCATTCGCTCTGCAAATATTTTGATGTTGCTCGGGTACGATGCTCACTACTTTTACGAGCGGACACTTCATTCACATGAAGTTTATGTTGGATTTTATTAAATTTACCAAATCATTGTCTAACTAGTTGTAAGCTACTTTTCATACTATGAACATACTTTCTCAAAACTAAAATTAACGGCATTCAATTTTCATTATTTTAATCATCTATTAGTTTTAGATATTATTATATATAAGATAGAAGGAAAATAGAACTGTTAGGGTATTATACTCTCTTCAGTCGAACTGTCGAATTAAGCAACAAAACTTGAAGTAAGTAAGAAACTATTGTGAATATTTAAAACATAACTATTTATTTGGACTTATTAGCATTTTGCTATTACGCAAACGGAGTCGCATGCGTTTTAAATTAACATTTATTCATGATATAACGCTTGAGCTCCATCCAAACTCTCTAGTAGGCTACACGAGAAAACGAGAGTGTGAGAGTGAGGACGGTGCGCTCGTGTCCACTCGTCTTCCCTCGTCTCGCCTCGCTGTCGCTCCGATTTGTGTCGGTTTTTCAGGCGCGAGTCAATCACCCGGTTTCTGAATTGAGAATCTGAAGTTGAGCACGTCTCAAACCGTGCTTTAGCGATTTTAAACGTCATTTAAACAGGTTTTCATTACTGATTTATATTTTTTCAATGATCAGTTGATAGCAATTTGATAAAACTAAGACTGTTTGCCATATGAAACGTAATTACTTAAGTTATTGAGAATAATCAGTTGAGAATTCGTGCTTTTCTCAATTCAGAAACTGGTCGAAAGAATGCGAGAGAGTTAGGCGAGAGAATCAACCACGCACTTGCACTCGCTCAGTTTGTTATGAACTGCTGCAGAGTAAAGTAACTAAAAATTATGTATACAATAATGAATTCATAAAAAAGAACATCAATTTAAAATATTTATATCGTCCTGTTCTCCGATTTGGCTTTCTATTTTTACTTAGCTGGTATAAACGCAAGACATTATAATATTGGTAGGCAAATAAAGTAGCTTATGCAGTGACATCAGTCATTTCCGTCTTGTAATAGACGTAGCGGGCAACTGAATGTATCGAGTGTGGATGGTCAGCACTCCTGCAGCCTCCACTCCTCAAGACTCGTGACGGGGGCTTCTAGCAGGCGCCTCGCGAGAGTCAAGAGCCGGCATTAAATTTTATATCTGGGACGGATCTGTTCAAGATGTTTCTGTACATATCGTTGCCAACACTTTGATCGCAACGGCCAGTACTTGGCAGACAACAGTCGCTTTGATTTACTTCTCACCACTATTCAATCCGTCATAAATCTCACCCATAAAATATTACAGTAAACATTTCCCCGTGTTCTGTGAACTCCGCGGATTCAGACGAATCATAATATATTATCGAGATTTAAAATATTAACATGT